ATCTGGTAGCTCTTGTCGTCTGGAAATCCAGTGGGTAAGGCCTCCTGTGCTGTACTGAACCCCAGTTTATATCCAGGTGGGAGCACTTGGCTCCTCCCCCTGGGTGGAGCATCTCACAATGGGTTGATATCAGTCTATGAGTCATGCAGTGGGTCCTTGATGGTCCATTAAACAGAAATAGCTCCTGGGGGGAGCTCTGTATGAGTCATGGGGCGAGGCATGGATGGGCCCATTAACAGGGAGGACTCCTCCTGCTGGGTGGGAAGGTGTTAACATCTCCCCTGACCTTGAACCTCTTTCCTTATCTGTTATAGCCTGGGGTGTGAGGTCTGTCCTGGGCAGCTGCTACGCATGATTTTGTTAACAGCCCATGAGCAATGACATAGAGGGTATAGAATAGAGTTTTTGGTTCTACCCACATAAGGATAAACTGGTCCCAGACCCTGTAACCATGACAGTTGAATAAGCAGAACTCAAACAATTAGCAGAAATTACTTCATTTTCTGTCGTCAGGTTTTCCTGTTTAAGGATATCAGAATATCTCTCAATATTCAGAATACCTCAGTGTTAACACCCAGGGCTAGGGAGAGGTAAAAATGTGTGTTCAGAGAAGTTGTTTGTCCATTGATAACAGAGCCTCCTACCTCTCAACTGTAACAACAGACCCTGTAGCCCAGGTACTGTGGCTGATTAGGAACTGCTTTGAAGAACTGAAATTCAAAAGTAGATGTTTTAAATTCCTAGATCTTCTTGTCTGCAGGGAGAAAAAAATATATCTTGTTCTTTCTCCTTTTTGTCTTTTTCCTTCTCAGAAAAGGACACTATGGACGTGTGGTGCAACGGTCAGAAGCTGGAGACAGCGGTAGGTGAAGGGTGCCCAGAGAGCAGAGCTCACACCAAGGCCCAGCAGGGCACGTGGCCTGGCCTGCCACAGCGCGGGGTCCCAGCCAGGACACTCACTGTTGCCTCTGTCCTCCCCTGTGTTCTACTACTGACAGGGTTTCAGCTAAGATGCCAAATGTCTGTCTATTTAAGGACAAGCAATGCTTTTGTTTTACACTTTTTACACAAGCAAAAGAAATCTCTTGGGTCCGGTTGTCCAGGGTTTTTAGCGAGAAAATTTTCAGGGGTGTGGGAGGTATTTAAGCTTGATGCAGAGTGTAGAGCCACCTCATCCAAACCTGCTCATGTTGGTGGTGACTGAAAGTTGAACACTACACGTAGTCTGTTACGACTCATGATTTTTTTTTTTCTCTTTAGAGATGGTCCCTGACACTTAGGGCCAAGGGTCTCATTGGAACAAATAAAATCTTTTGTCTTTCTGTCACATCTCCATTAAGTTTTAGAGCAGGCTGACAGCTAGAAGGGTTAATCTGTTTGGCATCTTTTTACATTAGGATGGCTTTGAATACACATACTGTGTAGGCTTCCCCGTTCTTGAAGCATGTCCTTTCTCACTGGACAGTTGTCACTGTGATTACTACTGCCAGAAATAATCCCCTGGATGACTACAAACTGTAAAAACAACAGTTCTGCTGTACTTGAGGATGAAAAGATTCACAAAATGTTTCTTCGGTAGTCAGTGCAAGAAACATCCTGTCTCAGTGAATCAGAACTTTTGTCTTGGTGGTTCTGAGCCTTTTCTATAATGTAACAAGCACACCAGGAGATGTTCTTGCCAGCTATGAGTACAAGTTTAGTTGTCAAACTGTGCTTGCATTGCAGCAGCACACAGATTTTTCTGCTCTCTTAAAGATGGTGACAAAAACAGTTCTGTATGGAAAAATTTGTTACAGGAAGTGACGTAACTGCAGCAGGAGCTGCGTATCCAAAATACACAACTGTTAATTCAGGGATCTCTTTATCCTGCTGTAGAAGGCACCACTAAACACTCCCCTTTTTCCTGCCACTTCAGCACAGGTTTGTGAGGTACTTATTGGCTGTACTGCTCAACTCAGAAGGAAACAGTCATTTCTTTTTGGGTTGGGTTTTTTTTTTGCTACTGGTATGGATCAAAGGTATTAATTCACAAATTCCAACTTTATAATTTCTGGTTATGTGAAATTTTGATTGTCATTGAAAACCCACAGACCTTTAACTGGACACCTTGGCAAAGCCCTGTATGAGTTTCTGCAGCTTTATTCACCATTTGCACTGTATTTGTTGTAGGTGCCTATGGCTGCTCTAATTTTGGGAACTACAAGTGATCTCAAACTTGGAAACAATGTGATGCATTCAAGCTTTTATTTTACTAAAATAGCATCTGTCTGTTTTTATTCTTGTCTCCTTTCTCTCAGGGTGAATTTGTAGAAGATGGGACTGAAACTCACTTCAGTGTTGGTGACCACAGCTGTTACATTAAAGCTGTCAGCAGTGGGAAACGGAAGGAAGGAATTATTCATACCCTTATTGTGGATGACAGAGAAATCCCAGAGGCTGTGGAGTAGCCTCTAGTTAACTGATTATTGTAGGACTAAGATCAGGAATTTTCAATTACTGTGGTAATTATTTGAATATGTACTACTTGGTACATCTAGTTTGTGCTGGGTTTATTTTCTAGTTTCTGTATATGAAATTATTCTTTTTGAGGACCAGATGAAAATAATTATATACAACCTCTCACATTACCAGCTTTAAAAAACTTCATAGAACAGGTATTATGTCACTAAGCGCAGAGGACACCAGTGAACTTAAGTAGAAATTATATACTAGAAAAAGAAACCGAGAAAATAAAGTGGAAGATAAATCTTCACTCAGACTGAATCCTCATAAACTGTGGGTGTATGTGGAGGGAGGAGGAAGCATGTGCTGGGCATTTGAATAAGCAAAGTTTTCTTAGTAGTTATTTTTTCTATTAAACTGACTACCAATGTTTTTTAGATGCAATTAAGAAGAGTTACAAAGTTAATAAAAAGGTTATTCATTAAATATGCTGTTACCAATACTTGTGTGACAGTATTAAAATAATATTGTGCTATCAAAACTCTTCTGTATTTCAAGTAGGGGAATTTTATTCTAAAAATCATTTTTTCTGAAAACTGATGCTTGTTGGAAATTGTTGCAGTAGTTCAGAAACTTTGTACTGAGCTTTTTAAAAAGAAAACACCAAAAAACCCAAATTCCTGCCATGAAACTCCTTTAAAAAAGGAAACTTAAATAAGAGCTTATTCTTTTTTGATGCTCTCTAACAAACCTTACATCTACAGCTGTGCATCTTCCTGGCAGTAAGGTGTGAATCAAGAAATTTAAGGAAAAATGGGAGAGAAGTAGAGGAGATAATGATTGCTTAAATGGAAAAGCTAAAATAGGAATAGACAACTCTGTTTTCAAACTTCCAGAATATTATCTAAAACCAGCCTTGGGATGTCTGTGAGAAAAAGAGTTTTGTTAGATGGTTCTTTTAAGTTTATGGGTGGTTTTGCCCATTTAATATGGTATTAGAGCACACTAGGTTCACACACTACAAAAGCTACCCTTTCACAACAATGTAGACTTAGCTAGTTTAAAAATAGAGACAAACAATATGCGTATATTAAATTAAAAGTTTGTTTTGTGATGGTTAAATGTTAAATTTTTTAAAAAAATAATAAATTTCCACTTGCAACCTCACTTAAGAATTCAAAATTAGACTTTTGTAACTTAACTTCTGGACTTGTGAGAGTGGTTCCTAGCACTATGACTGCTGCCTTGGGAGGTGCAGGTGCAGGCATAGGCATGGGTGCTGAGAATTCATTGCAAATTACTCTGAAAATGTGTATTAAAACGCTAGTTTCATCTGTGTTTTAGGGCTCAGGCTGCTGTCCGTTAGCACAGGCTAACTCCGTTAGCACAGTGAATGAAACATTTTTCACATGACAACACTGTTGTTTTTTTTTTAATCGTTCTGTATGAGCCATTCTTCTCCCCAGATAATTAGTTTTAACCACAGGGGACTCTTCAATCTCGAAGCCGACAGATGAGCCTTTATTTCTGTATTGCAGCACTGTAATAGGCCATTTGGGTGTTTAGTCAGGGCCATAACTGGTGATTTTCAACGCTTCAGATTGGGCAGTAGATTTTAGTTCAGGGACACAGGTTTTTTTAAACCCTGCTTATGTCAGAGAGTTTTAGGCTTTAGTACAGAAACTTTCAAAGTACTGAGAGCTGGACTGACCCCCCTTTTACATTGGCACCAGTATAACAGTTCTTTGGTTTTCTGTTTACTGGCTTTAGGTCACTGCAGAAGCCACGTCGGGATACCTAGCTACAAGGTGGACATTAATATTTAAGATACTGGTAAAGGTAGATTAATTGAAGAGTCATTTCAAGCTTGAACCAATTCTCTACTATTTTGTAGTCTTTCCAAGAGATTGAACATGGCTGAGAGATCCAAAGCTCAAATACAGCCCAAGTCACATTCTTAAGACTATATGGAAGAATAACAGGTTAGCCAATAGTGTCATTTGTACTTTTTATTTTGAACACAAGTACCTACAATGGCATACCTTAACTAGGAACAACTGTAACAGCTACTACTGTTAGAAATCATGAAGTATTGCCTTACATTTGTCATAACTATGTGTATTTAATAACATGTCCCTAAGTGGCAAACACTTTTTTGCCCAATATGCTCACCTAATTAAGTCAAAAGAAAATGTAAGAATCAAAGGCACAGGCAAAATTTCTTGGGTTTCACTAACATATGTGGAGTCTCAGATTAAGGAAATGCAATGGAAGGATGACAGCCTACACAAACATCAAGTATATAGAACACTAAGGTGAAGTAAATGACCAGATAAATGTTAAATTATATGTTGTGATGCTTTCCCTTCTGTTTCCATTCATAGCTAATTTTGTTCTAATCTCCTTAAGATAGTGGCTTGCTTTTTTTGTTCATGGATATTTCAGAGCACTCTGCACAGAGCCATTTTGATCACAGCACGTTACTAGGTAGAGCATCCTCTTAAAATTGAAGTACTAGACTTTGTTCTGAGGGGCCTCCACCATAGCTTCTGTTCTGATTAATTCTTACAGGATCCTGCTGGTTCCCTCAGGGGTGCCACGTACCTCTCAGTCACTTGGGAACAAGTTAGCAAATATTGTGGAAGAGCCCCAACACTGTTGCAAATGACAAAGGTGTCAGGATTGTTTACATCATCTACTAAGCTGTCATATACCTCAGTGGCATCCCCCTCCACTGCTGGTGGCATAATATAAAATGGCTTGCCTTTAGTGTACAAGCCTGTTAATACATCAGCCTCAAACACATATATTTTAGCATCTGCTTCCCACATGTCTTTATCCTCAATTAGGCTTTTTGGGTTCCTTTTAAAGTAGATGCCAGCTCCGTATTTTTGTTCTGGAAAAAAAAAAAAAAAGTTTTCAGCAGG